CATGAGTGTGTTGGGGATTCGCGATTAGGGATTCAACCCCTGTACCTCTGTACTAGAATTTCACAGTAGAAATACAGAGCCCACCCACTTTTTCAGTAGTATCTCAATAGCAACAGTAAACTAGAAGAGAGCTTAGAGCAACTAACAAGAACATCCTGGGAAATCACTCTCGCATCAATAGTCGCGACAATCAGTCCGATGGGTTGGCCCATTTGCATCTTCTCAAGCTAGCAAGTGGTCCAGCACCGGTGCTGTGCTGGCACATGTGTAATTTTGGGTGTTCACATCTTGCTTGTCTCGCTAACTAGCTAGGAAAACCCTGAGGATTGTTGTTCTGCTGTTTCTTCGTCCTCGTCGGCCTTGCCTGAAACAGAAACAAGAGCATAGCTTTCCTGTGCAGATTGAGGGTTTATTCGTCGTTGCAACCTCACCATGAGCGCAGACACCACCTGGCACCCAAATATGAGAAGTACTGCCTGAATGACGAGCAAATCGGTGGCCGTACCCGTGTTGGGAATGGGCATCCCGGAGAGGTGTACTCCAACCGTAATAAACCATATTGAATGCCACAGCAGCGCCAAATTGGATCCCAAAAAGACTAGAAACGAAAGTGTGACGTTGCTACTCTTCATCGTCGTCAGGATCAAGCTGATTGTCATGACGAGGGCTGGAAAGGCGCATGTCAATGCCAAATATTCATGGAGACGCATATCGATGAGTACCTCTTTCATGAGAGCATGATCGTACCACAACAGTGCCTCTCCCCAGAGACCCACCGTAAAACTGGCTCGCAAGCTGTCCTTGGGCAAGTATCCGTGGGATTCCAAGACACCAGCAAAACCCGCAAATAGAAACAAGAAAATCAACGTCAGGTGCGTCTTGTAATGGAAAAATCCCCAATCGGGATGCAAATCATGATTCAAATAACGAGCACCCAGTCCGGAGTAGATCATTCCAAAGCTAGTAGCAAAGACCAAGCCTTTCGAGAGGATGTGCAAGAATTGATGGTTTTGTTCAGGAACGTGTTGATGCATAAAGTCGGCAATAACATCCTTGCTCCTCTGGAGAATTAAGCGACGAATCCGAATCGCAATCAAGAGCAGAAATCCAATGCTATAGGTGCCAAGGAAGACCCCTACTATGTAGTGAGACCCTGGCTTCCTGTCGTTGGAGTAGGCCTCTCCCAGCTTCGCGGTGGAGGTGTCGTTCATGTCCACGGTTGCTTTGGATTCTGTTGTGTCTTCTTGGCAGTTAACTTAAAGCGAAAGTACGGTAACACATAAGCCAGTTTAACTGCTATTTGACAAGGGCGACTAAGAGCCTGAATACCGGTGTTGGGCACCAGACAAAGGTGGTGACGGAGCGGGCACAGGGGACCCTCAGTTCAAGATCTGGGCAAGCTAGCTACTGGGCGGTTTCCAAGGAGGGTGTGACTTGGTCGTCCTCAACAACACGTATTTTGCAAAATGAAAATGGGTTGGAGATTCACATCAGGACACATTGAGCTTGTTGCCATCTTCTTTGGAGAGGATGTTTGGAGGTTGGTGCCTATGGTGGGTACATGCTGAGCGAATGACATCTCCAGTGCTGAATCCCAAGACATATACTGTCGCCCATGAGATGGTCAGTTCAACTAGGATGTATTTGTTGGAACGCAGATTCATATCGTTCAAGGACCTTGTAAGTGTGAAGTCAGTTACAGAACCTTTTTCAGGATTTCGGTTTGCTATGGGGGGAGTTTGACATGGCTGGCTCATAATGGAACCATCAAGTTGAATGCTATGAACGGCAAGTACTTGAGAATGAGTTCAAGTTCTCCCGGACAAAGCACCCTGTCCAGTGAACCGTGTCCATTTCATGAAGGAAGCCACCTTGGCGAATCTGTTGCCAAGAAAGCTGATGAGAAGGCCTGTTGCTTGAAGGACCAGTGTGTCTATGGTGTTGTGGCTGCTGGAGATTCAGAGCTTACCGAAGCGGGGGCAATCTAACAACTGAGAGACTGGTTAAAATGTATTTAACTAATGGAAAAATTGATCGCCACTACTGGATGTCTTGCAACACCGGCATACCGGTCTTCTTCTGCTGCGGCTCCTTCTACCGCGCCTTTACATTGTGTCTTGAGCAGACGTCGTACTCTTGGTGCTCGATTCATTCCGATGACGCCTTGTCACCTGTACTCATGGCCATATCTTTGATCCCGTTCATCGCCTCCCCCGCCTTGCCTGATACAGCGTCTCCAGCCTTGGAGGCCTTGGCGGCGGCATTGTGAAGTGACTCCTTCGCAACATCTTGAGCTTGACCTGCCTTGTCACCCACAAAGGATGCAGCGGCCATGCTTGCTTCAGTGGTGGTCTTCATGGCCTTCTCCTGGGTTTTGGCACCGGCTTGGAGAGTTTTCTCGGCTGCGCGTTTTGTTGCACCAGCTACGCTATCTGCCAATTCGGAGCCTCGCTCCTTGGCAGCTTGCTGCGCTCCGGAAGCAGCATCACCAACGAACGTTGCGGCGTATGAAAGAGAATCTGTAATCTGATCTCCACCCCGCTTCAATGATTCGACGGCTTGTGTGCCTATCGTTTTGCCCCCGTGTTTTTTGTTGAACGGCCAGAAAGACGCAGTTGTTGCTGGCAGCAGGAGCAGCATGATCAACACGGACTTGTTGATTGGGTTTCGTTGGGCTTGGTTACTCATGTTCGGTTATTTTTGCTAGTTGTACTGTAACTCTTGGGTTCCGATAACCTTTCGACTTTGCTTTTTGTGTCAGGTCTGCAAACCACGAGCTCAGCACCAGGTACCAGGGGGTGTTCCGTATCGTAGCTTTTGGGTGTTCCGGTAAACGCAACGAAGGAAACTCGGAGATTTTCCCTTTCGTTGCTGGAAATCGATTGAACCGTTACGGTCTGTATCTGCAGGCTTATTGTCAATCTCGACCGAACGTACCGTACATGTACAAAACAATACTGAATACACTGTAGCAAGAACGAAGCAGTCCAAATCGATCGAAGGCTGTTCGCAAGAGGGACTGGTACTCGTAGAGAGATTAGGCTTAGAAGCAGCACAATCATCTTTGAGGGAAACCAGCTCATAATAAGCAAGCAGTATGCGGAAGAACAATGATTTGCAGATTGATCCCAAGAAGAGAGGGGATGATGCGCAGGAACCGAGAAGAGTAACGCCCAGTCCACAAAGCGAAGATGGTGGTCACCACACCTTCCTCCCTGGCTCACCTCCTTCTTCGGCTTCAAGAGGAGGCGATTTTGCTCATCACATACCACCGAAAACACCGGTAGCCCTTAAGGGATACCAACAGCTAAACCTCTCTCCAACCAATATGATTGCGGAAGACCAGGCATATGCCAAAATGAACGACGATCGTATCCTTCACGACGATGAATTTTACAGGAATGCAACCCCCCAGGAAAAGGCCCAAATCGATCGATGCGTTTACTTCTTGTATGGTCGCAAGTTTTTTTGGCGTCACATCGACGGATCCGGGCAGAAGCTCCCCGTGGGCCGTGACGTCCGAGTTCGTCTTATCAAGGAGATGCTGCAAGATCCGGAATATCGCCGACGATTGGTGCAAATTATGGAATGTACCGGAGACAATGACCGGACCGTAGATACCGTGGACCGGACCCGATTCTACACTTTTGCCGCGTCGTTTTTGCGGTTTGTGGCTAATGCCGAGGAACGGAAGAAGGAAGAAGGACCCTACAAGTCGCACGGCTTCCTCGAAGTAATGACGCAGCTTGTCCTTTTTCTGCGTTACCAGACATTTGGAATATGCTACCTTCTCGCAGCCTGCACGGCCTATGGCTATCAGATGCAGAAAGATCGGACCGGCGAAATCCTTCCTCCCGCAACGCCCGATGCCTCGCAACTTGCTCGACGCACTATGGATGATCTAAAGCTGTACAATGTCGTCACGCTAAAGGGAGGCGGTACAGTCGCCGAAACTTTGGCATATCTCAATGGGGACAAATGGGAATGGCCTGGCTCTTTCACATCTGTTTGGTTTGGAGACAAACGTCGTCTTTTGGATGTAATGGAGGGGGAAGCTCTTCGTGATCTCGAGGAATACGGAGTTGGTTTGCTGGATAATTTTAACATTCAGCAGGGTTTCGACTCGTGCGAACGTCAATCAATGGAATGGTGGCGGGATCATACGCAAGGACAAGGAGGAAAACGAATTCCACCGCCGCCGCCAGGAGTGTGGGTCTTGGATGGTGGCAAGGACGCAGAAGGCAAGTTTACTTGCTTCCCTCTCCCGGCCGAAAGCGAAGCGGAAATGATCGATAAAATGTGGACAAACAGCGGACAGCAGGGCGCCTTGCCTCTCGGAGCAGGGGCACCACCGCTCGCCCATCGGGAACACCGCACAAACATCCAGCCACAAGCCGGGGATGTGGACAACTTCACCTCTTCATTGCCGCCTCCGCCGCCTCCTCGGCAGCTTCCCCGGCCTCATACCACCGAACGTAGTGGCAACAGGGGCTTGGCACATGCTATGATTGTCTTGTATGCCTACAGGAAGGGCGAGGGAAAGAATTCCAAAACGTTCTTTCTGGTTCAGAACACGTGGGAGAATCTGCCGTTGGTCGTGATGACGGGCGAATATTTGAGAGCCTGCGACGCATACGTTTCCTTCAACACAAGCAAGCTCGGCAGGTCCTTTTGTGGAAAGCAAACTTCTCTGCCGGTTACCTCGTGCTCCCTGCCCGAGACTGCCTCGATGGCTTTACCGGTAGAGCAGATGTTGCCTCACCGACTTCCGAGGGGAAGTTAGGATAGCGATAACAAAATTTAATAACCGCTGGGGATTTTCATGTTCAAGAAGCAAATGATCGGCTCGGATCTTCGTCGCGGCTACATCAGAGAAGGGATTGCCCCGGTAGTTTGAAACTCGTCAACTGTTTTGACGATATGTCTGGAAATCCGAGTGCTTCCTCTGTCGACTTTCACGGGATCTGTTCCACGCTTCCGTCCACGAGAGGTACGATTGGCCTCAGTCATTCTGGGTGGTCAACAAGTAGACGAGCCGCAACCAAAAGGAAAGCACACTATTGTAACCTAGCTACCGGTAGTAGATCGTACCTGCACTTCTCAAACTAGCTGGCTAGTGTGGAGTCCCCGATCTGGTATCAGCACGATATCTTCCACGGTAGCTCCTACTATCTAACTAAAGACACAGGCTTCGCCTGTTTGATGTTTAAGATTTCTCCTTTGTCCAAAGGCGCCGCTTGGCTATTGGATATTTCATGTTACCTGTATCTACGAATGTCACTCAAATCTTGCCGTTTGCACTTCAATGAAACGTTGCCATGGTCGCTACATCGTCCATTCTTTGTACCGAACTAGGTTCAGCTGGATTCTCTAGGCAAGCTTCTTCTTCATGTTGCTATTCTTGGCACGATGCATAAACCAGACAAGGCCAGCTGTCAAGGCCAACATGGTTGGTGCCAAACCAGCTCCAAACAGAAACTCAACCAAATTGAAGATAGAAAAAACTGTGAAAAGTGGGACAGCAAAAACCATGACCTGGACCATCACAATCTGTTTCTCCCCCAACAAAGCCAACTGACGTCCCACAAGCAACCAGTTCATAATTCCTTCCTCATTGTGAGCATTGTCCGTGCAAAATGAAGATGAGATTCCCATGCAGATCATTCTGTAAGGGGAGAGCCACCAATGGATGATTGTTTCGTCAGAATGAAGACCAAAGTATGTCTTAAGTGCTGTGATCTTTGGGGCTTCTTCCTCCAAAATAGATACATAGGCTGATGCCACGATTCCATTGACAACGAGCTTTCCACTGGGCGTCAATGGCATGTAGACACCTTTCTTTTTGATGCTTGAAATCTTGGTGACGGTGTCCTCCTGGTCCCCAGAACGGGCCAAGGAATCACCTTTCTCAAGTGAATCGGCACGGACAGACCTTTGTTGACCATCTTTCTCAATGAAGACTAGGTGGTCCCCTGTCATCTCCAAGGGAGTCTTGCCATTTTGCTTGGTGTAGATACGCAAGAACTTGTTCTCCGTTGTCTCATGACGGTGTCCAAAGCCGTAGACTGGCTCATATTTGCCATTGCCGACAAGAATTCTGTCTCCAACACTTAGATCCTGCATGGCAACGTCACCTCTATCCTGTACTTGGACCATTGCAGATTCGGAAAAGCAGGCACCGTCGGGAACCTCTACGATGCCAAAGAAGCGATCATCGCCATCTCCTGCCTGAGTGCAAGTGCAAGATACGGCCAGGTTATTGTACCCGGTTGGTGCGTCCGCAACCAGCTGCCACCCTAGGTCGTACTCTGAAGCAAGGAATCCAAGATGGGATAAGATCCGATGGTCACGTGAAGGTCATAGTTCATTCAACCCTCACCCGTTACCCATTCGTTACTCTTACCTTCATCCGCGCTGACGATTGGGACTGTCACGCCGCAACCAATAGTAGCAAAGTCGTTCCCATCATTGAGGAGGAAGCTCGCGCTTCCACCATATCGAATGTACAATTGGACAAGGCCTACGAATCCTGAATCACAGCTTACGGTACACGTGGTGACTGCATTCGGCGCCACATTGAAAGTCTCCGTTCCAGAGTTATCGAGGCTGGTGCCGCTTCCAAAGTTCGCAGAGAAGGAGCAGGCGAACGCGGTACGGGCGCCGGAGAGTGCCAAGACCGCCAAAGCAGACAAGGAACGAGTTCTGAAACGAAACAACATTTCCTTCGAAAAGTAAATTGAAGTGGTTTGTCTTCTTCTGGTTGACTGATGATGCAGATTAATGAACCCAGAGAAATCTTGGCCGTCGATGATGGTGTTGTGAGAAAGCTCGCTTCGTGTTGGAATTGGAAGATACGATCCTGGGTAATCTGGGCCGGGGCGCACGAGTAAAGGGAACCCATCGTTTGCGCACAATAGCCACGGACCTGCCTCACGTGGGTCTGCGTCAAAAAAGTGACAGCTCATCTAACCAGGTCTACCCAGGATTGTCTCCTTTTAGGATCTGATTCCTCTGGTACCGATATGACTTTCTCTAGCTACGAGCTAGTGAAGCCTTCCAAGAAAACTAGCTATCAAGTTACAATAGCCTCCTTGGTGCGAGTTTGCATCCAGGACCTCCAAAGCTTGGCATGAATCGAATCCACTTGCACATTGTTGCTTTGATGTCGCTGATTGAGTGGCAACATACTGTAGTATCGGCACGATGTAGCCAACTTGATACTAACTAGCTTGTTGAGGCCCCGCAAACTCCATTGACGGTCCTTTATCGCACTCAATTACATCTCTCTCTTTACCTGCGGTCCTCGATCGCGTCCATTATCTAGAGAAATATTCGATTGCTCCTAAGTTCCGCCGGTCCTCGATCGTCGCGGCTCTGCTTGACTGTTTTTGTGTGGTCTTCACCAGCTACAGAGTTCCGAAGACGCCACGAAATCGTTGTGAAATGCTTCTCTAAAGTTAGTTTTTTAAAACATGTATGTAGTAATTGTACGATGAAACCCTGGCTCTGGATGACTCCCCTGTGCGCTGGCATTGCCTCGGAATTTGCAATACCCGCTTCACCACTTCCTAGGCTCACCCGCGAAGCCTTCGGCCACCGCTCAAAACCTTGCAAGGTTCGTAGATTGCACAATCAATGGTAGCTGGACAGTTTGTGTTTTCTATGCAGCATGTACCTGCAACGCATTGATCTTCGCAACGAGACCTCAAGTAATACTGAGCGTCTTTGTCGCAGGCTTGCTGGATGCTTTCCTGGGTAGCTTCTCCGTTCGTGGTGCTAGTGCTGCCGCTGCCTCCACCAACTCCGCCACCGGCAAGATTCAGTTCTTCTCTCATCAGGGCACATTCATTTTTATAAGTCGCACATGCCGATGACGAGGAACAAGTATCACTGCCAATGCTCCAACAACAATCGGCAGCTTCGCATGCGACCTTGCAAGTTTCCAATCCTTGAACGGCGATAATGTTCTCGGCCGCACAGATGGTCTTTAGATTGTCGGGTGCTGATGGCGGATCGTTGGAAGTGCCGCCGCTGTTGTTGCTTTCCATGGGAGGTGTAGTCTGAAGGTTCTGGCAAATGTGATATCCCACACAGTTGGCATCGTTACTACAGCTTTCCGTAGACGAATCCCAACAGCACTTTGCCTTATTGCAAACCTCTTCACAAAGCCCGCGTCCATCCGGGTTGTAGCTCAAGTTTTGAACCGAGCAGCGCAGCACCATATCGCCGGGCACCTTGCTGATGCCATTGGGACTTGGGCTGGGATTTGTATTGGAATTGCCGCTGGGGGTAGGTTTGTTGTTGTCGTTCTCCATTGCAGCCAAGACGGGTACCAAATGTTCCTTACAAGGTTCATTGTAGTCCGAACATTGCGGAGCGTCTGGGCAGATAGTGGCGTGCCCTTCCTTCCAGCAGCAACTGTGTTTAGCAGGGCGATAACAATCAATAAAGTCAGCATCAAGTCGCGTGAATTAGCACCATCCGGAAAACACCATTAGATCACTTACGCGGCCTCGAGGCATTCCTTTTCACATTGAACAATGAAAGCACCGTTGGACACTTCCAAGTTCAAGACATCCTTGTTGCACATCATGGTCAAATCACTGGGTGCTTCGGGCACATTCGTTTCGATGACAGGTGGGCGGGGTGTGGGGGCAGGCGTCGTGGCAGGGGGCGCCGGACTGCTGCCGCCACCACCACCACTTTCCAAGCTCAAAAGTGCGTCCACGAGATGTTGTCCACAGGGCTCCTGGTATGCAGAACATTGAGGAGCATCGGGGCATGTCGTGGGATGATTCTCCTTCCAGCAGCACGCTCCCATCAAGCACTCGCGCTCACACTCGACTATGAATTTGCCATTATTGACATTGGTTTTCAACACATCGGGGTTGCAATTCATGGCAAGACTTTGTGGTGCATCTGGCACTTCTGTCACGACCATGGGCGCCAATGTGACATCGTTGGAATTATACTCGTCCGGTTTGTCAAAGAGTGACTTGAAGACACTGCAGGGTTCTTGGTAGGCACTGCAACGCGCATTGCCGGTACAAGGATTCGCCGCATTGGGTTGCCAACAACAGCTGGCTTTCAAACAAGTTTGTTCGCAGGAAATGAGTGCTTGGCCTCCCGTATCCGGATCGGTAATTTTTTCCTGTGAACAGCTCGTGGCCAAATCGACCGGTGCCGCGGGAACATTGTTGCTATTGGAGGATTCCGTTCCTTCGGGAGCTTCCGAAGAAGTGACATCATGAGACTGTCCGGGGGCTGTATTGAGTCGATTCAAGATGCCGCAAGCTTGGGTGTAGGCATGACAAGCTTGTGCCGGATAGGTGGAAACGCAGGACTGGACACCTGTCTTCCAGCAACCTGAAATATTTGAAAAAGAACAAAACAAATTAGAAAAATCCAAGCGAAAATGAGGACTAACAAGTCGCAAAGCAAACACTCACATTCCGCTTGACCACACTTGTCTTCACAAATATGAAGCGAGACCTCTTCCATTTCACTGGGGTCGCAATATACGTCCAGCCCGGAAGGTGCAGGTGGGAAGGGAATTGTCGGCGGTTTTGTCACGGTGGCGCTGCCGCTCTCTTCCATGACAGGGTTGTCGCCATCACTATTATTGTCAAAACTCGCGCCCCCTTCTTCGTCCACGTCTTGATGAATGGGATCATTGAGAAAGGAGCACAGTTCTTTGAAATTCAAGCAATTGTGCACTGTCGAGGCCGAACACACGACGGTTTCCTTGTCATCCCAGCAGCACGACGCCTCGGCACATCCCAATTTACAATCGTCCGAAACTTCAAAGGCGGTACGGGCACATTGGGATCGGAGTCCGGCGGGGAATTCCGGAACGGACATGCGATTTCCGGTGGTGGTGGTGTCGTCTGGTTTGGGGGCAGCCAAGTGTTCTTTCCAATCGCCACATTCTTTTTCATAGGCGGGACAGTTGCCTTTGGATTCCGACGTGCAAACGTAATCGCCGTCGGGATTCCAGCAACATTCGGCTGTTTGTTAATTTGTGATAGTTGTGGATTGTAGATTTTGTGTACAGAACGTGGAAATTCAACCGCCATTGATGATTGCAAAATCAAGAACAGTTAGCCACAAGCAAGCAATAAAACAAGGACGCAATCCTTTCCAAACAAATAAACCAAAAGCAAGTACTTACCTTTCTGACAGGATTCTTGGCACAGCGCCGGAATTTCAAAATGATTTGGATTTCCTCCTTGCGTGACAGCCGCACACATCAAATCCAACGATGCCGGAGCGACCGGGACGGTCTGATGGACTTTGAGGTTCTTGCTGCTACTGTCGCTCTTACTGCCCATGACGACAAATAGAACGAGGGCGACAATGCCAAAGACAAAGAGGATACAAATAAAAATGGGCACGGCATAAACGCGGCACGATCGCAGATTCTTGGAAAAGGACGACTCGGTCGGTTCTCCAAAGGCTTCCAAATTGCGTCGCTTTTCTTCTCGCATTTCAATTTCGTCCATTTCATCTTCAAACTCGTCCTTCCAGTCATCGGCGCCTCCGGCCAACGGATCGTTGGGATCGACATTCATGGTCAAGAGCGCGTCAGTCTCGGGTTGTACTTCTGGTTGTTTGGGCGGCAAGACATACTTGCTGCCAAAGGCATCCAAACTGCTGGTGGATTTGGAAAAATCGACGGGACTGCGGGAACGCGTGCTGCTGCTGCTGTTCTTGGACGACATGTTGGACATGGATGCGTGAAACGATGGCGGCGGAGACACTTGTTTGGAGCTGGAGCGACTCTTTTTCTTCTTGTCCTTTTTGCCTCGTTTGCTCGCCATGAACTTTTCGCCTGGAACGGCTTCGGCCGACGCACTGCTGCTCAACAGTCCGCCTTCTTGGGTACCGCTGCCTGTCGGGAGGCCGTAGCTCTCCGCGTAGTCGCCGTCAATCATTGGCATGGTGTTGTTTTTGTGTGTAAAGTGTAGTCTTGTTTGTGGGGTGCTCCGAATGGAATATTTCAAAAAATGGTGCAAATGACACACAAGAAGATGGGTGGATTCCTTGGTTACAACAATAGAAGGGCCGTCAACACTCGAGCTCCTTCACTGTATATCAAGTGTGGTTCTGGTCAATGTTGCAGACTGCGTACAGGACAAGGTCGTCTTTGGTGGCTTTGCCTGAGCCCACCAGTAATTGTTTGCTGTGATTCAGCCACAAGTATCAACCGAAGGGCAATTTCAAAAATTGTGTGAACGAAAACCACGACACACCCTTTTTGAAAGAAAAGAACCACCAAAACCAAAAACCAAACAGTGAGAGAGACGATTCGTGACCGTCATTCAGCTTGTCTGGAGGATGGAGTAATGTTTAAGAACTGATTAAAAACATTTCTTAATTCTATATTTACCTCAACTACCCCAAAACATACCGCGGCAAGTAAGGAACTAAGAAGCGAGGCATTTCGTCTTGGGCAGACGACGTAAAAATTTTGAGGCTTAAATAACAATCATTCTCAAAAGACTAACCGGAATAAAACTGGAATAAAACTAGTCGCGCTTGAATCCCTGCTTTTAAGATTCTACCTTGAGCACGGCGATGACGAAAGACCTTGGGCACGGCGATGACGAAAGAGACAGGCAACAAGCCAATGAAGAAGATTGGAGTCGGTTACGTGAAAAGCCACAGCAGATCTACTGTGACGATGAACAGGTTTTGGCCCACCTTTGCTTGATCTGTACCTACCGACCACTTGGATTCTAGCAAGACTTTAGAGGTGAGGAGCCATAGAAATTGCAACGAGAAGGAGTTTGACCACGGGAGCTTCAGCGTTAGTTGTGCCATAGTGTGCCATGTCTAAAGGCTGCCGCTCCGATGGTCAAAGGTCTTCTTGTTGTTGATTGCATGGCTCCTCACCTTCGAGACCATGTGTGTCATCGGAGGGAGCCTCTCTTTTCACCAGATTCGGTGTCACGAATTTTCCATTTTTCCTAAGTGGAGAGAGCGAGCCGGTGCGCCGGGCAGGTCAAATCCGGTCACAGATCAAATTTCACCTCACATTTTCAGCTCAACTGTCGGAAATAATATTTCGAGCCCATGTTTATCAGTCCTCACGACGATGTTGTTGCCATGTTTATCAATCCGATTCAATATTTCAGACCATGTGAGACACTATCAGCGACCATGGGTATTGGTTAAGAGTAGAGTAACTCTATAGTAGTGGTTCCGGAACGATTCAACTCAACGCCTAAAGATCCGAACAGTTTATTTCGTGCGATCAGTTCAGTTCAGTCAGTCGCGATCCTCTCATAAATTCGCAACACCAACCTTTATAGCGGAAGCTATGGGAATTTGCGCATGGGCAATTGATTTGGGGATCTTCTTTATTCATCGGCAATGGCCATCTGCCGTTCTTCCACTGCTCCGTTGTTCCGTCCTTCTTTGAGTGCTCCATCGATCTTCATCCTCGGTCATTCTTCCTGTGGTGTTCTTCGCTCCGTCGTTTTACCACTGTCAACCGTTCGATCCTTCCTTTTGATCCTTCCACGCTGAGTCAAGTCACCATGCCACCCAAGAAGAGGAACTCCTTCACTCGTTTCAAGAAGGGATTCAAGCCCAGAAGCAGGTCCACCTCTCCCATTCCACCACAAGTGTCTCCTCTGCCACCACCGTCTGCAGCATCAATTCCATCCGCCAGGAGCCGCTCAAGAACTCCACCACCTGGAACTCTTCTCAACCGTCACCAACCACGTCCTGCCTCCCAAGGTCCTGCAGATATCACACCTCGCAGAGAAGCAACCAAGCGCAAGGGGATATCGCCTATGGTTGAGCAATCTTCTCCCGTCATTGAAGAGCACCTTCGTCAACTCCAGCAACAGCGTCCACAACAAGAGCTTTGGGAGAGGATTGGAGCTGTTGAAACTAAAGAAGTGCAAGTCGATGATGTATCTGCCGCTGATGAAGCTTCCACCGACATTGGTTCGGAAGATGAGCTTGAGTCGCTT